TGTATTGTATTGTGTTTTTATGGAAGTAAATGTATGCTTTTTAAAAACCTCGCGATTGCTGAACAAGAAAACGACACATTAACTATGCTATTTAAGGAATCAAAATGGTCACGAATGTTCAATTTTTGCACAGCGATCAACAACTCTGTTACTATGTTACTTTTTCTTTTTTTCACTTGGCTAACAAAAAGTGATACCTTCCGACGAACATTGTGGAGCTGCCAGTTGTTGCAGTGAATCCAACAGCGATAACCATGGCTATTCTTAATTCACATCTTTGTTGTTTATCATCATTTCACGACGCTCTTCTAACTGAAGTATGCCTCATCAGAATTGCCAGCTTTGAGTGGTTTGCTGGCGCAAATGTTTTGTGCAATGATCTCATAATATAAGAACATAATACATCAATCCACCTCTTCGAATCTTCTTTGTACACGTCGTTGTTACTTGACTAAATGTTTTTTTTCTCGGATTTGAACTCATTCTTAGCTATCAAGGCTGCTTATTCTTGGTCGTTAGACTAGTTGAGAAATTAAAAGTTCATACCTTTATAGGGGAAACTTTTCCCTATCTCCTTAATGGTCTGTGTAGTTCTTGTAAAATATTTTGTCAACTTTAAGCCTGATTATTTACTTAGATACCTGGACAGTTCGTCCTCAATGATTGTGCTGGTCCCAGCATATTCTCCATTTTTCGAAGTTTTGCTGGTTTAGCCATTGTGTTTCACTGCATTCTCGTGGTCAGCCTGGCCAAAGTCTGCCCCAGGTCTTCACCACCACAGGCAGTCGTCATCCTTTTGGATCAGAGGAAGATTTACCACCATGCGACCGATTTGATACCAGGATGGTGGTGGATCCTGGTATTGGTTTACTCTTAGCTGGGTTTCTTGACGGAAATGCTGGATTCAATCTCACCTTGGGACACTCTGCTGGGCTGATAAGTCTCCCCGCTGTACATCGCAGCCCGACACCCGGGAACACCTCCCAGCTACGATGAGGCAGTAGACCGTTGGAAGGAGGCTTGATTAGGGTTTATATTTTTAGAAAGTTGAAAGTGGAATTCTAATTGTTAAAGTTTTGCTATGGATGCGAGCCAACCGCAGAAGCAATGCTACATTGTCACCACAATTTCCCGCTGTCTGGCTTCTTCAATTGCTTTTGTGTTCGAAATAGTGGATGACGGAAATTGGTTGACGGAAAAGAAAAAGTGAAGGAAACACGATTCATGAGATCTAGGAAATCAGAATTTCCATCTTGATAGAACAAAAAGGCTTCTCGGTTATAGGTACGAGTCCGTAGGTTTTAATAGTTTTTATTTTTATTTTCAGTTTTTTTTTATTACGTGATACGACATCACATGTATCACACTGTGCGGGTCTCAACTCATTTTGCATTCGATTCGTTTCATCCTATCCACAATCGAAGAAGGTTTTCGGACTTTTCGTATGACTTTCAGAGCTCGATTTTTTTTCGCCTTCGTCATAAATGTCAGTGAGTACTGGTCGAGTCTATGTTTCCTGGAATCCTGACGTAGCCTTGTTGGGGCGCTCTGGCGTAAACTGGAGGAAATCGGCCCGCCCTAGACTACTGTGGAATCGATTTACCGACCTTGTAGGATAAAAGACTTGGCTGGCCCAGTGCTGCCACAAACCAGCACGTGGGTAGCCGATGACGTAATGAACGAGATCAATGTTACTCTCCCACCGTGACCTTCATCATCATTAGTAAAGTTCGGTATGAGTTGGGATATGTTGATTTTAAAGTTGTAAGCGGCCATTATGTTAGCATCGTGGGAATGCGATTCACACGATCGCAGATGTGTTAAAATCTTTTTTACTTCCTGTCTCTTAACCTTGCAATATATTTACCTGTAAATTAGAAAATCTTATCAAACTATGCGGTATTATTAGTCGCTGATGAAATTTTCATCCAGTGAAGGTGTTCGAGATCACAGCTACCACCACTTTTGGTGATTCTTCGTATGACGTAACATTTTTGAAATAATGGAGAGCTCAAGTGAAATCTATCAATTGAAACCGACCGTTTGCTGTTTTCAAACTTGCTTTACTATTACAATGTGAAGCAAATGTGGACGTCCTTTAAAGTAGTGAAAATTAGTTATTTATTTAAAAGTACTGAAGGCATAGTGTAGGTTTTAAGGACCATATCAGCAATTTATGAATTTATTATGAAATTTTTGTGTGGTTTCCATGAACGACTTTCTGTTAACCTCGAAATTGATCAGGTAATTCTTTATGTCCTTATTGAGCAAACAGGATGCGTTGTCTTATTCTTTATTGTGGTTAATCTGATGTTTCGGCGGATTTCTTATTCTTTAGACCCTGGGAAGGTCAAGGTTTTTTGCGTAAGTACTCACATGAAATCAATGTTGTCAGAACCGCTCAGAAAACCTAGTCTTCTGATTTCGAAGTCGGTTTAAGTAATTTTAATCAGTTTCAAGTTGTAGATCCCGAACACCGGCTGCCGAATTCCGTTACGGTGAACAAACTCGAATTACTCCGCTGCCGACGGTTTCGCCTCGATCGAAAACCCCAGCGCCAGTAGATGGAGGCCATCCATCTGATCCGAATTTACCACCGACGACGACAAAACCGCATACTCTTCAGAGGGTGGGCGACTTTCCACAATACGGCTTTTTTTACTCAAACTAATTAACCTTTGATAAGAAACTAATAGAAAAAGAGATTAATAGAAAAGAGACAAGAGAAAGAGAAAAGGGACTAAAGATAGCATTAGCAGAGAAAACAAGAACAATTGCTAATCGAACTCAGCGTGAAAGTACAAGGTTGTTTAGAACGTAGTAAACTGTAACAGGAATAAAAACTGTTGTTCTAATCATCGATTGTCGATAGAGTGATTTAATTGATTTGACAGTTTGTCTTGATCGCCTCACGAAGGGTTGCGGTATCACTAGTGATAGGTACCACCACACAACATGAGAGATATATTTTAGTCTCTTTTTGCTTTTCCACTGTCTTTTCATTAACTCCGAGTTCTTCCTTTTCGTTAAGCGTCTATGCGAGATTTCAGCAAGCCAATGTGACCAAGCCGAACGACGCTTGGGACGGCGCTCCTCAGGGCGCTTTGAGAATGCGACCTTCATCGACCACCTTAGGATTTGCCACTCCAAACTATATGCCAATTAGTACGTTTCAATACAACAAGTAAGTCGGCAGTTTCTAAAATTTTTGAACTCGTCAGTTTATGTCCTTGAGTTTGTAGTAAATTTAAGCCTTATAACATCTCGTATAATAATAGTCTGCTTTGCCGTTAATTACTGTTAATTAATGGGAAAGTCCAAAAGATTTCGGTATTTCAAGAAACACATTAAAGCGGAGAAAGCTAAGTTGACAGATTTCCAAAACATGATGTCTCTCATGTATTTCTAAAAAGAACGTCAGACTGAGGTTTTGAGTTTAGCTCATTGCTCAGCATTCTTGTGGATGTATTCCTTATGCAATTTTTGTTAAGTTTTTAGTAACTTTTCCATCTTTACTAAAGAGCAAAGTCAGTGAATTTTAAAGTTTTTGAGAAGTCTCCTTACTCAGAACCATAATTTTATTGTGTCTAATTTGATCTTTCAGCAGTTTTTTTCCTGAGTTTACTATGTTTTCATTCCAGAGCTGTTGATCTAATCACGGTGAACCTTATACGTAAGCCAAGTGGTTTCGGTTTTCGTTTACTGGGTGGAAGTGAGGTTGGTGATGCTGCTATATTTTGTGTTTATATCAAAAGGATTACCTTCTCTTACCTGGAGACTTGGACGGCCCATCCTCACGGGCCCCAACATAATCTCCATTTTTTGGAGTATTGCAGGTTTAGCTATTGTGTTTCCCTGGAGTCTCGGTCATCACCACAGGCAGTCGCAGCCTTTGTGGATAAGAGGAAGGTTTACCACCATGCGACTAGTCTGATACCTGGACGGTGGTCGATCGTGGTAGTGCTTTACTCTTAGCTGGGCTTTCTGATGGAAAAGCCGGACTCTTTCTCATCTTGGAGGATGCTGCCGCGGGGATGAATACCCCCTTCCTTTGTACATCGCAGCCCGACAATTACTTTTTATTTCTTTCTCTACAAGTATTTCTGTTGATTGAATCTATGGAATCGTTTCATCTCAGCGTTTGCTATGTGATTTTTCGAATGACGTCTGACGTTGGGCAATATTCGAGCAGATGTTCATGATAATAAGTTACATGTCAAGAAGAATCTGTTGGGATTTTTGAAGTAGAAATGGGCAAACTGAAAAGGATCTCTTGAACACTAGTTATTTATTACGTATTATTTAATTCATTATAATTCGATCGCTGACATTCAGACAAACACGTTGCTAACGGTCGGACAGGTTGTACCAGGAGGAGCAGCTGCCGAAGATGGTAGGATGCAAGAAGGTGACGAGATCGTTGAGATCGATGGTCGGCCGGTCGAAGGCGTCAGTCATGCTGAGGCCGTAGCGTTACTCGAGAACGCAGCGCACAACAAGCACGTGAAGCTCGTCGTTCGCCGACCAAAAATGGGTTTGTCAAAGCTATTCCGTTACTTTATTGTATTTGTTTATTTACTTACTTATGTATTAGTTGGTCAGTGAAAAATAGGTCTTCGAGTTAGTTCTCGGCACCGAAGGGTAATGAATACATGCCGCAAGACGAAGATGGAGACTTTGCGAGCGCTAATTGCGCGACCTAACCGAAATGACTAATTATGCTCCTTATATTTCTTCTGTAATAAGTGACGTTTCGCCAGAAGAAACTACTGTAAATGCTTAAAAGGAGATTCCAGAATGTTTCTCAGCTACTACAATCTGATAGAGCAGCTTCAAAGGAAGACACGGTACATGCGGAAAAGTTCATCGGATAAGATCGTATACAAGAACCTTCGTTAATTTAAAAGTTTGTCGGATAGTGATTGAATATCTTATGCAGAAAGTTCATGTGGAAGCGATAGAAAAGCTTACAAGGCAAGGATAAATATGGCTGGTAGCAAACACAGTTAATATGGGAAACATACGGTAATATAGAAAATAAGTATTGAGGGAGTGCTGATGGCAAAAGATCGATAGAACTAGCTGAGAGACAGGCGAAACGAAGGACCCGCGTGGTGTGGTGGTGAACGCGCTACTCCGCGGAAAGGACAATAGCGCGTTCGTTCCCCACCGCATACACCTGCGGTCCGGAGTTTTGCAAATATCTCAGCATCATTGAAAGTCATTATTCGAGGAGTAATTACTATAATTCATATATTCATAAGCGCGCAGGAAGCACAGTGGTTAAAGATGCTGTGCAGTACATATATGGTCACTGGTTTAACTCCGCACAGGGCCACTCACTTCACCGACTCACCTCGCTAAAATTAGCAAATTGTTACTAGACGCTTTGTGAAAGCTCAATCCAATATGCAAAAGCTGAGCACTGTTGAAACTACTGTGATGGAGACGTCGAAGAGCTCTATTAGAGTTATCTCCAAGATTCCAGGGAATATTAACTTCGATCAAAGGACACCAATGAAAAAGACAAAGTCTTCAAGTGGCTTCTAAAGCAGTGGTGAACCAGGGATTTGTTGATAACACAGGCATAATAACAGACTATATGGAAGAAGGGTCGTGACTCCAACAATATGAAGACGTGTTACATGAACAAATAAACAGAAAATATAACGCATCTATTTATTTTACTAATTTTTCACATAGCGGTTTTTCCAGGATGTCCAGTTTGTGAATTTGTTAAAGAAAGTTCTCGTAGAATCACATGTAACAAAACATAACTGTACTGGAATACTGAAGGGTATATTAATAATGGAGCGCTTGTGGCTCAGTGGTCAGAGGTGCCGTGCAACACAAATGGAATCGATCTCCTCTCCCATAGCCCACCATGCCTTACACTTCTCCGGAGTCGGCAAATTGCTGGAAGACTTTTCTGGGAGGATAGCGGCATTGGCTCAATACATCGGTAGGCCATCACGAGTCACTGTAAAGGCCAGATTTGCATTCAATCACTTCCAACGATACTTAATGAAGTCGAATGCACGGCGCATTCCTAAAAGGGTTGACCAACGCCGAGATCTTTTTATACTAATAATATAACTGTAGATCAATTCAGTTGAGTGACGGAGTTAACATTTATGTCAGAAGTTTTCTTGACTACTTGAACAAACGAATTGACAACATTTTTTTTCGAGAAACGAGTGGAAAATTAAGCATCCTTGTTATCTGTGATCTGACAGTATTCGTATGTCCTTGAAAGACCACAATAAATAACCTCATACTAACCAACACACAGTAGGTAGCCTCACGATAGCTATTATATGTACGAATTTGCAGTTGGTGTCCTTCGTCACTCCATCCATAATGATCGACCGATTACCGGAATGTTGAGTGGTCATGGTGAGTACGATGTGACGTTGACGAGAAACGACACCGACGGTTTCGGATTCATCATCATCTCTTCGTTGAATAGAAGTGGATCCACTATTGGTAAACTTTTGAAAATATATTTGGCTAGATTTAAAATGGATAAATATGAATACTACTCAGTATGTTTCTTCAAATGGAAACACTTCTGGATAAGAAGGTTCGAGGAAACCCAAGAAAAGCAAGTAATATGTTTCTCTTTAGGACAAATTCTTGAAAATTCTCCAGCAGAGAATTGCGGGAACTTGAAAGTTGGTGATCGAGTGGTCGCAGTGAATGGTATTGATATTCGTAATCTATCGCATGGTGAAATAGTCGGGCTTATAAAGGTGAGCCATAAATGGAATATTTTTTGCGGCTTTAAAGTTTTACGGTAGAAGTACTAGTACTATCAAGAACAAGATATCGCGATCCATAGCTGAGTGAACCATCATGAGTACTTCAGGCGTCTGGTCTCACAGTTCGATTAACAATTGCTCCTCCATTGTCCGATGGGAGCCCACTAGCGTCAAGTACTTTGAACAGAACTGGTTTCCCTACTGCATATGCACCGTCACCACCGTCTTCATACATTCCTCCTGCAACAATCCATCAGAACGGTGGTTACTATGCTACGGTTGCCAGAGTGAGTGGCTAACCTTATGTCACCTTACTTACCTATTTTTGTGAGTGAATCATTTCATAGTCATCCAGAACGAAAAGGGTAGAAAACTTCTACAAAGAGCTTTTTCATAAAAAAGTTTTAATTAAAAAGTAATAGAATGAGGGAATAAAAGTCATTTAAAATCTTCAGCAGAGTTACCATTACAGAACACTACCTACACGTCTCGTCCACAACAAACGATGTCGACACTTGCACCATTTTCATACACAAATGGTTCAGCGCTGAAGAGTAGCATGAACTACTCGGCGTATCCTAGTGCCAATTCCCGTCCTATCTACACAACTTCGAATATAAGCGGACAGATGAATGGACTAAGGCTGAACAACAGCGTTCCTCCCGACCAAGTGAGTAATTCCGAGCTTTGAATTCACCAAAGGTGAAATAAAGTCCTTAATTAACGGAGGAAAAATTGTAGATTTACGGAGCACTAGGTGAATTGAGTTTGAACAGGAAATGGTTGTGGTAGAGCTAATAAGTGATATTTCTATTCAAAAGCAACAAGCCTTTGTCGTGTTCAAGTTAAAAGAATAAATCTCTTGGCGTCGGTCAATTCCTGAGGGATGCGCCATACATCCAACTTCACTAAGCATCGTCAAGAGGTGATTGAATGCAGATCTGGCGTATGCAATGACTTGGGTGGCCTACTGATGTATCCAACTAGTGCTGCTATCCTCCCAGACAAGTCTGGTACCAACTTTCCAACCCCAGAAGGAAGGAAAGGGATGGAAGGCTTGGCGAACCTGGGGCTCCGAATCAATCGCATGTGTATTGCAAGGTGCCAATGACCACTTCCTTACACGCGCTCCTCCTTTATCGAGACAGCAGATAAAATGTTCTTCGTGTTGATTCTTGAACTTGTTCCTTATAATTTCATCAGAATCTAGTTTCGATATTAGTAATCTCGTTACTTCACTGCTAAATAGACTTACCACTTCTGCTACAATCCATTGGTGAGGTGTTGCTGACACGTTCGTGGTTACGTGTATTGACTTTAATGCACGCGTTGGATGGTCAGTGTGCTCAACAATATGCACTAATTCCAATGCATTTTTTCTGGTGGTGTTTGTTACACTTGGGGAATCTTGTAAGTGGGATTCCGTTTCGTATTTGCTAACGTCGATTTTCATTCGCCTTATGTTTAGTAAATTAGTAGGCCTAATTTAAAAGTATGAAAATTCAGTTCCCTTCCAACCTTGATTGATGTTTTTTTACTTTCAAAAATCAGTAGGCGTTAAATCGATGCTCTGTAATATGAGGATTAAAGTATGGACTCGGAAGTAATGATACTTAGAGCGCTAGTTAGAGTTCATAATTCTAAATAATATAGAATCTATTGGATGCTTTTAGTGGACAGCTTAAATATCACAAATGGATCCTGTCATAATTCTCGGTATGCATGCACAATAGAGTTACTTTATACAGCAAGCAAGTTGCGAAAGCCTTCTTCTGGCTCTTCAAACTAGCGATGTGCTTGATGCGTACAGCGAGTCGTCTGATATTGATGCCATCGAGTTGTTGACGCCTTCTGGATCGCCGATCTCGTCAATACGCCGGTGAGCTCAATTACTAGCCACGGTTGACCAGCCTAGACACGTTCGCTTCAGCCAAGAAAAGCGAGACATGACGACGACGACGACGACGTGTTATCGATGCGTACTGAGCAGTAGATGAGATCGAATGGAGGTCTACTGTGTTGATAGTCGCGCATCTTTAGCACAGCTCCATCTCCATGTTTTGTTTGCTTTGATGGAGAATAAGACGGCCCATGTTCTCTTGTACTTTTCCTAAGCTTCTATCGACCACGTACCTCCTGTTGCTGCTTCTCTTCTTCGTGTCCGTCTCATTTCTCGCTTTTTGGACCTCGTTTTAGTTAGTTAGACTTTTAGACTTTTACATCCATGAATTTTGCACTGACGTTAACTTAAAAGCATAGTAATGTTAGATTGTTAGTTCGTCATGCGCAGTACGTCACTAATCATTTCACAGCGTGTTCGAGAAAGACTCCAACCTTGAAACGGTCCCCTTCCAGTTAACAGTTCCGAAGTAGCTCCCGTTTTTCGACCGATATCCATAGATGTCAAAAAGAATCGCTGTCTTTTCTGTTATATCTTCTGTTATATCTCTCTTCAAAAAGTCAAATAATCAGTTACAGCCGGGTTTCTGCACTGTCTGTTTCACCTTCCGGACGTCATGATATACCCTTTGTCGCCCAGTCCTGGAGGAATCGTGTGATTTATTGTCCTCCATGATGTCTTAGTAGGAGACGTAATAACACATCTTTGTGTCAATATCTTATCGATAGTAATGAAGTCACCCGGAGCGAAATCCATTGTGCGAAGATGCTCTACATCTCATAAGTAGTCGTTTTGAAACTGTAAGGGAAGAGAAGAACTTCAACGTTGTTCTTGATTGACCGCCGATTTCCAAGTCTTCTTTAAAGAGTAGGTGCTTTATACATGTGATTTTCTAAAGAATAAAAGTGTTGTATTCCTTAAAGTCGAGAATTTTCAGAAATTTAGTCTCTGAATTCATAATATGACCCACCTCTATAAAGACGATTCCGAATTCATTAGTGTATACGTGCACTTTAAACTTCTATATAATGTGTTATATAACTAAACTGCTCTCGCATGTGACCTCACAACATGACTTCATTTCATATAGGATGCGTTATTTATACGAATCCAAGCCACATAGAGTTATCATCATAGCATTTTGTTAATTTCAGAACTGTCCGATAATCTCCGTAGAGTTGGAGCGTGGCGTTCGTGGATTCGGCTTCTCGATTCGTGGTGGTCAAGAGTTTGGCGCTATGCCCCTGTTTGTGCTACGAATCGCTGAGGACGGTCCAGCTGCGATCGATGGACGATTACAGGTGATGAAATTTTTCTGTATGATATACATTATGAAAAGCCACTCTTCAACTTATTCAAACTATAAGACATCAAGCAGACACACTCAAAAGTCGCTCCGTCGTTCTGGTGTTCGTCTCCCTCGCTTATTGTTGTTCTAGACGTAATCTGGAAATCCAGTTTGAATTCCGCTACCGAGACATGTTTCCCTGATAGAATGTTTACATCTTAAACGAATACTGCTACAAAGATGCTGAGATATTCGCAAAACTTGGACCACGGGCCAGATCGAACCACGACCTCCCTTTCCAGGGACTCGGGCATTATACACTGCGCTACCGAGGCCCTTGCTTTGCTCTTCCCTACTCTATTGCTCCTACTTAGTTATCATGAGTTATACAGAAGATTCACAGACTTACTTCAGGTTGGCGATCAGTTGATTTCAATTAATGGCCGTGATACTCAGGGACTTACACATGAAGAAGCAATTCAGTTAATCAAACAGCATCCAACTGTTCGACTTACCGTTCGGCGCCATAAGCTTCCGTAGCCAAACATTTAACCATAACCATTCAATCCATGGTTTTAAATGCATCAATCCTCCTGTTATTCACTATTAGAATACACAAGATTTCATCTATTAAAACCATATTTTCTTAGGGCTAACATTTTGATTTGTTCTGTTATCTTTCGACTTATAATCGCAACCGACAATCAGACAAAAGCTCCAAGAGTTATACACGAAGTACGGTAGATGTACTATGTATAAACTAGAAACAACGTTGTTACTTGGAAACAATGCACATTTCAAGCTCATTCCAATCATAAGCGATTGTGATTAACAGCACTTGGCTAAGCTGTTGATCACCTCCAACCCTTGGATTCCCATATTGCAGGACATGAGGGCGGGTCTAGTAGAGCCGCCTATGATTACCCAGTCATTTACTAGTTTTAAGGATAGCTGCAAATACTAATTACATAAAGGCAAATCATTTCTACTGCTGTCATTGACTATGTAGTCAGTTCGATGCCAATCAGTTCAATTTCAGCACACATACTCATCATGGGTCTCATCTTAATCGTTATGATTTTCATGTTACCATTCATGTACTTCATACTCATATTCGCTTTACTTGTTCACATTTTATATATTATTATCGCGCTTTTACCAGTGATGTTTCGCTGTCGTTTATTTGTACATATTACAGATCCTCTGTTTATCACTTCTCCATACGTTGCAATAAACCGTTATAGGAGAGCTATAAGGTACTTTCATGAAAACTCTTGCACAGGTTTGAAAACCCTACCTTGCATAGCCAAATGATAACCATCTATGATTTCTTATAGAGCAATCGAGTCCTTGTTGGATAAAGTTCGCCCTATTCCAGAAACTTACGTATACGAAAGCGGATTGTCTTGTTGCAGCACGAATTTATAACGGTACCATGACGAGTTGCGATATAGCTATTTGAACTCACCGACATAATGTTCCAGCTGATATTCTGGGCAAAAGGCAGTGCCCATCGTTGTCCAAGATCTTCGACAATATGAAAGGGTAGAAGATAAAGCGTTCGGTTCTGATTAATCCCTGAAGAGCAAACCATGAATTCGACTTCATCAAGTATCGTTAAACGCAACTGAATGCATGTCTTCTCTATTCATTGACTTGCAGGCACATAAAGATGTAGCACTTCAGCGCTGCAGTCCTCCCAGACAAGCCTGGTACCAATTCGCCAACCGCGAAGGAATGTACGACCAGGTGTGCCCGTGGTGCAGGATCGAATCAGTGAGCACTGTGTATTGAGGGCACTTCTGACCACTGCGCTACAAGCGCTTTTCGGCAATGTGTGACATATAAATGGTAGAGTTGATAAAGGATGAAGCTCTCGGCGTTGATCAATTCCTGTGGGAGCCGCCATGTATTCTACTTCATTAAGCATTGTTTGGAGGTGACTGGATGCATGTTTGACCTTTACAATGACTAGCGGTGGCCTACCGATGCATCGAGCCAATGCTGCTATCCTCCCAGACAAGTCTGGTACCAATTTGCCGACCCCGGAGGGATGGAGGGCTTGGTGGGCCATGGCCGCGAGGATCGATCCCACATGTTTGTTGCAAGGCGTCTCCAACCACTACACTACATGCGCCTTATTATTGATGCACCAATAATATTTTTACAACAGGCTGTGATGCAACGGCGCTATCACTATCATCTAGAATAAACAAACCCTCGAAAAATCATGAATGGAACAATCCGTGCGCACCAGCTCAACAATTTAGAATATCATTACATTAGGCTTTACTTTCAGAAAAGAATCAAGCCAACGTATGGTGCACTGAGTATTACATTAGGTGATAACAAACTAGATGACAGCCACAGAGCCAATTTTACTCGTTAAAAAAAGAAATAGTAAATGAACATGCAATTCTATACAAGATCGTAGAGTGCTCGAATGGTGTCTCACATGTGAAACCGAGAAATAAGCTTTGTAAGGAACTTGAGAAATTTCACAGATAAACAGATATGGGACCAACAGGAGCGGTAAGATAGTTACTTCTCTATCAAAATCTAAAGCATCATATATCCGATAGACTTTCCGAAAGTACCATGATCTCAAAGAACAAGGGGCAGCAACAATATAAACACAATCACAGTTTATTTTACCTAAAAATTCACCTTGGAGGGAAAAACACATGCTATAGACATCCACGACGGTTGGAACAAAATCTCATAACAATTAATTCGGGTTAGCCGATTCCTTCTTGTTTAATGGTTTCTGTATTAAAATTGAAATGACGAGGGACGGTATGGACATACAATTTTGTACTTTACAATGGGTCAACGTCTCCCGATAATCACTTTCTTTTTTCAGCTTCTATTTTCCATTTCTGAAAATCCATACTACTACGAGTTCTTTGGTTGTCTTCATCCTCCTCCGGTACACTTGTGAGCACATCTGCAGCTGGCGATCTGCGTAATGGAGTCGTTGGAGATAGCTCTAGAAGAGGGTGAATTTCCCAACAAAGCATAATTTCGCTAAGAAATCCTAAGCATGAACAAAACTACCACCATCTGAAGTCAGAGCGGTGTTACGATTGGCCTCTTCAACGAGTTCACCGAGAATGTCGAGTGAACTTCCTCCTGCTGTGTCCATGGGTGACTTGAGATCATTGTTCAGTGGAATTTGCGAAATGTCAAGATGATTTGGTCGCGATAGCTTCCTACCATCTCTTTAATTACCACACCATTCAGTATAAAATGTCTGAGTTGGCGACATGAATGTTGCAGGATTTTCTTTTCAGTAAAATTTCTCACCAATGAAGGTTCTACATAACGAAAAATCGCAGAAACGGCATATAATAGCTAACTTGCGTTATATACGATAAAAGGATAAAGCTCTAGGCGTTGATCAATCCCTGAGGGATGCGCCATGCATTCGACTTCCTTAAGCATCGTTTGGAGGTGATTGAATGAATATTTGGCCTTTACAATGACTCGAGCCATGGGCACGGGGATCGATTCCACGTGTGTATCGCAGTGGCGCCTCCAACCACTGCGCCGCACGCACCCTGATGAAGATTATAGCCCTGAAAACTAGAACGACCACAGAGGAACTACTGGCATTAATTGACCATTCGAACATGTTGTTTGGATCAGATCCATATAAAATAGGTTCCGCAAGAACCAGATGTAGAAAAGAGAACTGTACTAGAATACTCTTCTACAGAACTAAGGTGTTACGAGTTCGGTATAAAAACTTTTTGCACTTCGCTAGCCTTTCGGCGCTTTCGCCTTCTTCAGAGTCTCGTTGATCCAAGCGATGATGTGGTCGTCGATCCAATGTATTAGAATATTCCAATTAAACTAAGAACTTCAGGAAAAACGTCCTTATTATGATCGTATCAGTTTGATAAAGAATGGAAAAATTTACGATATTCTCCGATACTACTATACGGTTATGACCCATCAAAATACTTCTCGAATTTACAAATTTACACTTAGAAGGAAACTTTTAATGATTTCTTCGGATTGAGTATATAAAGCCCACTACTATGGCCTCTTTAGGAGGCGCGTGTGGCGCATTGGTCGAAGCGTTCTGCAATACACACGTGGAATCGATCCCCGCGCCCATGGCCCACCAATCCATCCATCCCTCCGGGGTGGACAAACTGGTACCAGACTTGTCTAGAAGGATAGGAGCGCTGGATCTATACATTGGTAGGCCACCGTGAGTCATCGTAAAGGTCAGATGTGCATTCCCTCACCTCCAACGATGCCTAAAGAAGTCGAATACATGGCGTATTCTTCAGGGATTGGTTAACGGAGCGAGCTTTATTCTTTATCCTTTTCTATATTCTTGTTAAGCAATTTGATAATGATATTATATGCTGACATCGTAAAATTGTGAAGAAAACGATAAGTAACACAACAACAAATCGAACAATTAAGACTCACCGACTAAACTGCTTACGAATGCTCTCGATCAATTCCATTTTGCTGCAGAGGCTTGTTCTACTACCATAATTTCGATTCACAGAGACAATAGAAATACCTGGTAGAAGAAGTACAATAGCTTCCAGTAACAACCAACGAGCTCTACTGTAAATCTGTAGCATATTTACCTCGTCGTAACAGGCGTGTTTCAGTATCATCAATTGACATGCTGTCAAGTTCATCCAGCGCTATGTGTGGCATCATCACCACTTCATCTTCTCGTGGTCTGAACATAGTTCTATAGAAAACCACAACAGAGAAGATCTTTCAGCACCAAAACCAATAACTGGTAAGGCCACGACTTACTCATAGCGCGAAGCTGAGCCAATTTGTGGATTAATCGGCTTCATGGCCACATCGGCAGCGTACAACGGTTCAATACTATCTAGCAAAATAATTCTTATGTAATATAAAATCATAAATACCTTGTTCAATGCCTCCAAATACTCCATTTGGAACCAGTGGAGGAGAGGAACAGGTACATAAATTAATGCGCATAGAACAAAGCAGACAAAATTAGCATACCAGCACTCCAGTAGATGTCCTTTTGCTGAAGCGGTAAGTCGCCATAGCACTCATCAACTATAGAAAGCCCAATCTAAATATCTGACAATATCTTTCAGCGGAATGTAACGCTATTATTGCACAGCCTTCAAGAACATACACTTAAGTTGCGATCGATAAGGAAATTGCACTCAAAATCATCGTCATCCTCCCCGAGTGGATTCATTAAACTTTCGGCAACCTGTAATCATATCGACATTTGATTTGAACTACTACTACACTTTTTGCCAACAAAACTCTTAAACCACTAACAAATGTGGGTCAACTCTGTCGTCTTTGATGTCACCTATACATGAACACTTCGATGACCCATCTTCACTGGTTGTGCGGCCACAAGCACTGTTCCGATTTTTTTTCGGTGTTTCGCTGGCTTAGCCATTGTGGTCTCCTGAAGTCCCGAGGTCAACCAGTCCAAAGTCTGCCCCAGGTCGCCACCATCACAGGCAGTTGCCGTCCCTGTTGGTCAAAGAGAGATTTGCCACCATGAGACTAGTTCGATACCAGGACGATGGTGGGTCCTGGTATTGATTTACTTCTATATGTATATGTTATATGTTATATGCCATATATAGCTTCCTGATGGAAACGCCATACTCCTCACTTGGGAGACCCTGGGATGGATTCCTCTGTTGTACATCGCAGCTCCCAATCCAGGATCATCTCCCAGCCAAGATGAGGCGGTAAACCGGTGGGATATGCACAAATAATAGATTTTTGAAAGAGTTCATTTAAAAATATAGGGCTTAACATTCTAAAGTGCTTGTTGAAAAATTACAGCATACATCAAATATGTAACGTAACACACTTTCATCCAGCCCACATAGAAAATGAACTGCAACGAAGTCATTATGAGAGGTACAAGAGGATAAGCCTGTAAAAAGTTAAAAGAGTACATCGTTGTTGCATACAGCTTTTTGCAAGAAAAAGAAGAAGGAAATCAACACCTACCGGATTATTGTCCTTTGGAGGTTCACCGTCAATAAGCACCGACTGTCGCGCTATTAGACATAAAAAGAAGTACGATCTGACCGCAAGGAAAACAACCTAGCGAAATTCGCAGTAAAGAAATTTGACAAGAACTTAGTGAACTGCAAAGAATATATAAACATGGTGTTCAAAATGTGTTCACGTCCAAGAAACTCGGTGTTGAATACCATGTCTTCTTTAAGTATGCCGGAAATCTCAGTGATAAAGTTTCTTCCACATATCCTCACCTCGAGTAACCCAATACTCTCTTTTCTTGTCTACAAAATTTCAATTTACAGAGAGCGTATTAAAAAATTCTATGCAATTTCCACTCCCAAATCTTTATCTCCGGCGATAATGAACTTGTAGAACTGTGTTTTTAGTTTGAGGAATGTAATACAGCGTAAACTCCATCCCAAAAGAAACCTGAGATGTTTGGAAGGCTCAGCGCTAGAGTCGGAAAGGAGTTAGTGGTTTTTTTAATGCGGATATAAGACAAGAAGCTTATGGAAACGATATGGCAAAATAAGAAATCATAAAGATCATAAAGGAGTTCAAAATTAATAGTTAATCGTAATCATCAAAATCACAAAGAAGTAATGAATTAATAAGGAAACATCAACACCTGAGTTCAACTAACCTGTGGATAAACGAGTGGAATAGGCACCCAGTCGAAGTTGCAAAGTTGCGCAAGGCTCCGTCGAAAATCTGACACATTCTAAAGTCGTGAAAATCGTTTACCTCAAGTTCCAAAAAAGAAAAAAATCGAAAGGAACCTTGATTATTTCATTTAACATGAGATCACAACTTAGTTTCCCAGCTACACGAGCTTCATATAATAGGGTGTAACACCACTGGATTGGTAGGAAGAATTTCGTATACTTGATGTTAAGCGCTAAGTATTTATCACGCTCCGCTTCTGTCATAAAACCTTAAAAATGGACTTAAGAGATTTCTCCAAACCAAAATGTAAAACAAAGGAGTACAACGCGTCTTACCGGCAGCCACAACAGTTTCGAGAGTGGGGAATCGGCGTCGAACTTGCATACTTATATCTCGGAAGATGAGCACCTTGTCAATAATAGAAGGTAATGAAAAAAATAGTAAAGAAAATCTAGAGCAGCAACACTCCAAATCAAGAAAGAACTCAAGGAATCATCGTCTCTAAGATAAATTATGGAATACTGAAGATTGCTGTAAAGACCGTTAAAGGAGAAAAGCTAAAGCTCTCGACGTTGATCAATCCCTGAAGGATGCGCCATGCATTCGACTTCGTCAAGAATCGTTTGGAGGTGACTGAATGCATATCTGGCCTGCAGTGGCTCGCAGTGGTCTACCGCCCTACCGAGTCACTGCTGCCATCCTCCAGGACAGATCTGGTACCAATTTTATGACTCCGGAGGGATGAAGGGCTTGGTCTGCCTGGGGCGCGGTGACCGACCCTGCGCGTATTGCGAAGGGCCTCTGACCACTGCGCCACACGGGCTCTAGAGACCGTTAGGAATAAGATTAGCCCATGAACGACGACTTTCAAGTGAAAACTGTGACCCAAAACAGTCTGGAACTTCAGTTTAGAAACCTTTGCAGATGTTTCGTAATAAGTGAACGAAAAAGCGCGCCATTCTTTTATTTGATTTGTATGCCATTGCCCCTCCCATGCGAACTTCGCTCGAGTGGATCAACTTCTCCTGAGACATGAACAGTAGATTTTTTCTCGTTATTCTCCTTACTAAACGATAAAAGATTTAGCTTGAAACTTCACCATAAAGTTATGTCACAATTAGTCGAAAAGTTTCAGGCCAGTATATCCTATGAATAACCCAGTGTCAACTCATCAAGCACAGCAAAATTTAGTGATGTATTCCGGGGTTTATAGAACGTTGACACCAGAATCACAAAAATATCCTAATACAATGAGGCCACTGCCGTGCTATGATCAAAGCTATCTTCAATACGTTTTCTCAATCTAACCAAATCCTTTGACCCTCGAGAATTAGATAAATGAGTCGACATAACTCACAAGGGCCAGTAATCATTCAATTCCTCAAAAACTCAGGAAATTCAAGACATCTTCATTCCATGTGCCCACCACTTTACGTTATGTCACAATAATATTTATATATACATATGTATATGCACATATATATGAGTATATATATATATATATATATCCCTCGTGAAAAAAAAATGAGTGAAATTCCAGCCGTAGGCAGACTAAAGAAAGCTCATCTTCGTGATAAACGGCAAACTACTCAGAGTAAACGTATTCACAACCATTGACACACACAGTCGTATTTCTGTGTCTATTAATTTACTAGCAAAGAGCTCGTGTAGCGCAGTGGTCGGAGGCGCCCTGCAACACGCACGCAGAATCGATCCCCGCGCTCGTAGACCATCAAGCGTTCCATCCCTCCAGACTGGTACCAAACTTGTCTAAGAGAGTAGCAGCACTGGATCGATACATCGGTAGGTTACCTCAAGTCATCGTAAAGGCCACATGTGCACTCAATCACCTTCAAAGATGTTTAAAGAAGTCAAATACATGGCGCATCCTTCGGGGATAGATCAACGTCGGGAGCTTTATTTTATTTACTCATTAATTTATTAGTTAACAATGTTTTAAAAGCAAAATTGAAGAGGAAATTTAAAACTGAAAGACTGACTTGTGTCAATACCATGTAGCGGATCACATTTCTTCGTGTCATGCGACTCTTCTCGTCGTTGCCACGCAAGTACGTTGCTGTTAGTAATGCTGTACTGTAAGCACAAAAACCATTTGTAACCACTTGACAACAAACTGAAAAGAATCTTTGTAATGAAGGAAGTATGGGCCTGAAGGCTTTAACAAGTCGAGAAGCTTTTAAGAGAAAAAGTGATGGAATCACTGAAGAAGAAATGAAGTATTCCAGGAAGTCAACCTGTCTACCCATCCCATGTTATTGAAAATATCATTCCATCGTCCAACAATAATCGTTACAAAGAAACCCAGCATGAATGTTAACGGAATGTAGTCGAGTTTTTGATCGAAGAGGGCTGAGAAATTGTCCCAAACTCTGAAAGCAGTACCACTTAAACGTGAAACAAACATAAATAGGATAACAATGAAACAAAAAGCGTTGGAATGTGGTATTACTAGTCATCAGCAAATGACAGTTGTTACAGCCTAACGCTATAGTGAGGTTAAAAGGCATCAAACTCACCAAAGCTAGCTGAACTAGTTCACACACTGAGCTGTCATCATAAGGATATTGTAATACTGTAAAGGATAAAAAGGATAAAGCTCTCGGCGTTGATCAATCCTTGAGCGATGCGCCATGCATTCGATTTCATTAAGTATCGTTGGAGGTAATTGAATGCATACCTGACCTTTAGAATGACTCGCGGTGGCCTACCGATACATCGAGCCGGTGCTGCTGTTCTCCCAGACAAGTCTGGCACCAATTTGCCGATCCCGGAGCGACGAAAGGTTTGGTGAACCTGGAGCGATGGGGTCGACGCTATGTGTATTGCAGGGTTCCTCCGACCACTGCGTCATACACGCCCTCATTAACTCACTTAAGGGTTCAAACTCCACAAAGATCTTGCTAACGAAGCTAAAATTAATCTCTAAACCCTAGAACTCAAGTATGGCTTTATAATAACTAACTTTCTTTGTTCATCCGAAAGAAAATGGTTAGTGCGATAAATTGTGGTAACGATAGCGAATGCTGAGCTAAATATAGTCAACTCCTAAAATACATTCATCCACTCTACAGTTGGGACGTATCAATCAAACAAACAGTGCAGGATTTAACCACTGACATACCAACCTTCAACACAGACTTCCATATGGAACCACGCCATCGAAATTGTAACCGTAGAAACGCAATAATGGACGTTGACGAGACATCCAAGTTGTAGGAAACCGTCATCTGCAACAAAATCAGTCACGGAATTATTAAGTTGAACAGCCGTCTATCGAAAATCGTACTCATTGCAGCACTATTTTCTTCGATGAAGTGCAAATTGAATATGAAACGAATGATATGATAGTTTGGGACGAGTTTTCTGACAAGCAAGTACACCTTCGGTGGCACGTGCACCTTCAATGGCACATGCACCTTCGGTGGCACGTGCATGTTCAGCTGCACGTACTTCTCCCATGGTACGTGCACCTTCAGTGGCACGTACACGTTCGGTGGCACATGCAACAAAAATCATGAATAGGACGATAGACGAATGAAAGCATCTCTATATAAATTAAAACTCGTCTAATTTTTCCGGAGTTATCGGTTTTAATTCATTCAAGAAGAAAAAGAATAAATTTAAACCTAGCAAAGTATTCTCTTAACATCCCACATACTTCTCCTGTAAAGACTACTAAATCTTGGGTTTTCATAAGGCAAATTAGGCAGTGATATCTTTGAATGAGTTATAATTTCTAATTCATTCATCCAAAGAAGAATACTTCATTTTAAGAGATATCGATCGCACGCCATATTAAGCTTATAAAGCTATGTCGCAACACTATGGAAAAGCTCGCGCTATCGAGAATCCAAACCTCTACACTCCTCCAAGCCTTATTCTTATGCCTCTGTTAAGGTTATGTAAGAAGTTAATAAAAATCATGGATAATACCACACGATAATAAACGGAGATCATTTTCTATACAAATTAAAACTCGTCCAATTTTCCCAGGTCCAAGGTTTTTCACTCATTCAAGAAGAAAATGAGGCAAATAAAAATATAGCAAAGTATTACTTCCTTGAAAACAACACGTCTTCGGGTATCCAAATGACACAGAGGTATCTCTGAATGCTTCTAAGTCCTTAGTTCATTCATTCAAAAAGACCATTCAAAACCACTAAATATCGATCCATAGCTGCGCTAGGCTTAATGCATGACGTCATGCCGCTGTGTGGAATAACTCGGATTACTTAGGATTTCTTTACATTGTAAAGAGCATGCACGATCGACTCTAATCCTTAAAAAATAAACGGTAAAATTATCGACGTCGACCAATCCTTGAGAGAAGCGCTATGCATTCGACTTTGTTGAGCATCGTTTGGAGGTGACTCAATGCATATCTGGTCTTTACGATGACTCGCGACGCTCTACCGATGTATCCAGCCTGTGCTGCTGTTCTCCCAGACAAGTCTGGTACCAATTTGCCCACTCCGGTCTCCGAAGGGAAGGAGCACCTGGTAGGCCTTGGGCGTGTGGATCGATCCCATGTGTATCGTAGTGTACCTCTGATATTGCGCTACATATATTCTGTAAATGCTGTATGGAGAGATTCCATTCATTCAAAATACACATAAAATCGTTTAAAAACTTTTACATTGGACGATGGACAGAGGAAGAACGGGAAGGAAGAGAACGAAAACAATTCACTAGTAACCACAAGATGCGAAGTACAACGCGATATTTCCCCATACTTATCGCAATGAGCCGGCGACAGAGTTAGAAGTGAAGAGAATAGTGAACAGGATAGAGAAGGGATAAGTTGTAAAGCTTAGATTAACACGCTTTTCATGATGAGGCAATGAATAAAGTAACGTCTTGTGTTAAGTCACAATATCATGATGCTTGTCGATCAATGGATTTCGACTATAATTCTCATTGGATTTAGCTTACTGAGCGAAACCTTAACAACTCACTGTGAAACTACACTTTACTAAGGCAGTAAGTCTGGACTTAAGAAAACTAGTTCAGCCAGTTGATGTTCAATTCATTTTGACATTTATGGCGTTAGCAACATACTTTTTGAATGGCGACTGACGCCGGTGTCCAAGAAGGGCTAAGATCAAAAGAGACACGATCCAAGAGAAATCGATGCAAAACCCAAATATTTACGTAGATATTCATATCGCACATCCTAACATGTCGTATAGGCCAAAGCATTCCTCGATTCATTTTGCTATCTTGCAATCGTCCTACATAGAGGTGATGGGATTTTGGCGTGGATTTAACTGCAACTTGAAGATCTGTGGTCTTCTGATCTAATTGAAATACTGAATACGTGAGTTTCTCTAGAGACGCGAGATAATCGTTGGTGGCCGTTCACGGTGCTCCCAACTCTTTCCTAAATGCAAAAGCAGACTTTTGTGGACAGGGGAGAGGTTTGCCGAGAGTATCCCTACACAAGAATCTAAAGCATTAACGCGGAAAACTCTTGAAACGCTTTGGATTAATTCCAAAAATCCTGAAATGAATAACACGAATGAGGGTTCTGAGATCACGCGTGACCTCGCGCCATAGCTCAGGTTAATTTTTGACATGACCCAGCCACATTTCTCACCTATGTAAGACTCTGTGCAACTGGTATTCGACAATAACTGGAAAGCTCATAAAGAAAAAACGTACAGTCTTCTTCTCAGCCAGTTTTTAGCCTAACGGTTCATTTACTGTTCATTATTTTAAACAATACACATTCTGATTTCGACTGCAGCCTCAGCTTAACTTGGATCAATGCCGACTTGTAATCCTCAGATCATTCTCGTTGACGGGTCATTGTCGATGGCACCTTTATGGTGGTAAAAGGTAGCGCAGTGAACGGAGGCGCCGTGCCATACGCATGGGACCGATCCTCGCGCCCCAGGTTCATCCATCCTTCCATCTCCCGGGTTCGGCAAATTTCTACTAAATTTGTATGGGAGGATAGCAGCATTGCCGCGATAAAACGGTAGGTTACCACGAGTTATTTCTAAAGGCCAGATATGCATTCAATAACCTCCTACGATGCTTAATGAAGTCGAATGCATGGCGCATTCCTCAAAGAATGATCAATGCCGAAAGCTTTACCCTTTATCCTTTGCCGTTAGCTAAAGAAACTGGATGACAGAAATGCAGAACGAGGTCCTCAGTGGTGCCGTGCTTACCACGTAAGCGCCCTGAAAGGATAATCGTGCTTCGATCTGGACCGAGATCTAAGTTCTGTAAATTTTCAGGTTCATTGTGGTTGTATTTCACATAGTATCTCGCCATGAAAAAAATAATAGGCAGTAAATAAAAAGTTATAAATTGCGAAAAAGGGTTAGTGTTTGAAAGGAGCTAAGTCCCTGCGACTGAAATTCAGGTATTGAATTGCTTCAGTTACTTCAGTAGTTACGGTACCCCTCACGTTACCATAAGACTAATGGCAATGTGAGTGCAGTGGTTTTGCCAGTTACGGGTCACCATGAATGCTGTTGGTCGTCATAATAAACTCAGAGAGCCTGTCATCATGTCCGATCCGTTACAATCTACAGTGCTCCACTGTGGAGTTTTGTACTCAAATCTGTGGGTTCAAGTTCGCGATGTTCTCCTGTAGCCAATATAAGCGTTGAAATAGCCAATAGTAAGGTGGTGTAAGGGCACTACTTTCCCCCATAGAACTTCCTCCGACTCCAAGTAGAATGCTTCGACCTATTTTCGTCATGATTTAGTGTTGGGGTCTAATAATGAAGACATTCAAAGCCACCACTTAATCACATTTTTTTAACCGTTAGCGTTCAATTAAGCTCCTTAGTTTCTTCTCCAAAGAAGTGTATGTTCATAGCCAAAGTCGTCTGGAGTGACTCAGTGGTGGAGATCGAACAATCATGGTTAGGCACAAACTAGATCAGATGCACTAATATACAGACTTTCTCTATAAAGAATAACCAGCCAGGGTCACGTCAAAGAAGAGTTCATCTACTGGATAGTCCTTTTCATGCTGCAATTTAATACTCTCTCTCTCTCTCTCTTTCTCCATTACAATTCGATAACAATGAAACGATGGACGAAAGTGGAAAATGTGAAAATGGTGCTAACAATAGGCCATAAATACTAAAATATGTATTATTTCTTGATAAGCTTGCACGAGGTTGATAAATAGATTTATTTTCGGCTAACGTTTCGACGTCTTCGTCTTCCTCAGAGCCGGTGATCCGAGTCGATGGTCCATGCTTGTTGTTCGCCTCGACGTTGCGACTTCGCCTTCGTGTCGAGCCATTTATTTATCATTTTTTTTCTTATCATTTTTTTTTCAGTTTTTCTTCTATTTATCAACCTCGTGCAAGCTTATCAAGAAATAATACATATTGATTAGTCACACCGAGGTTTAGTGAAGGTCGGTTTCGAAGTAATACTAAAATAGTCATGGAAACTGCGTGGTCTGAAAACAAGTTGAAGGAATGGACTGAAATGTTGTACAAGTACAGCGCATATTTGAGCGAAATGAATACATAAATATTTGAATTCCTAGACGATGAGTCTTCATGAATGAAACTGTCTCATAACTTGTTAGTATTCTGCTGAATGGAGAGGCTTTTCCTTGGAGTTCTGTCACAGGCCTAGCAACTGTGCATCGTGATTGCCGCTGTATGAAAAATCCATACTAATTGAAGTATTATTTACTGTAGAAAAACTGAAGAAGTTCGAAATCTGAAAGACTGAAAAATCGTCAAGAAAGAGTAAGGAAAGTGTGCTCCTCCTTGTTCCTGATTCCCACAGAATTCGGGATATATTCGACTCCATTCGTAGCATCGTGATGCTTATTTCGCCCATGCAGTAACTTACAGAAGCTTCCGATGTATTCCCTTTGTGTCATATCTTCTCAGACTAATCTGGTACCATTTCATTATTCTGGGGAAAAAGAATTGCTTGAGTCTACCAAGAACGCGAGATTGAACCAATATTCTGTGTATTTCAGGGAATCTGTAATCACTGCTCCACATGTGCCCCGTCAATGTCTTAGAAGTCTTAATTCCACCGCGAAACTCATGTAAACTTATATTGGAAACCATTAACTCATAGGTTTTCCGTTTTCCTATTTCAGTGGAGAAGAATGTGTCGTTTTCTTGTTCAGCAATCGCGAGGTTTTTAAACAGCATACATTTACTTCCATAAAAACACAATACAATACAACGCTAGCTGACGTTTCGGCAGTATCGCCTTCTTCAGAGCCTGG